ACACCCATGTACATAGAGAATTTACCACTTTCTTCCTTTATTTGCTATACTCTAAGTCTTTATGACAAGTCCTCTGCTTTGGTGTTTTGAATATATTTTATCAATGCCCCTGGCCCATTTGGCCAAAGTCCATCTCCCAACCTCCATACCCATGGCCTAATTTATTCAGTTCTCAGGATTGGGCCCCTCACCTACATACCAGGTACCAGCTGGGGTCCAATCAATGAAAATCTCTGCAATATTATCCTACCAACTACAAGTATCAATGAGGCCCAGCTTCCTGCTGCTAGGCCCCACCCATATCTATGCCTGCCCTTGGAAATCAAAACTAGCCTAAACTAGCCTAATTTAGCCAGGACCCCTAGGAATGGTGTTAACTGTTAATTTTATATGAAAACTTGACTAGGGTCCAGATATTTGATTAGCATTACTTCTGGGTGTGTCTGTGAGGATATTTCTGGATGAGATTAACATCTGAATCAGTGGACTGAACAAAACAGACTGCCCTCCCCAGTGTGAGTGGGCCTCCACATTCAATCCATTTGGAAGCCTGAACAGAATAAAAGGTTGAGTAAGGAAGAATTCCTTCTCTCTGATTGTCTTTAAACTGAGATATTGGTCTTTTCTTGCTTTCAGACTTGGACTTGGACTAGAACTTACATCATCAATTCTCCTGGTTTCTCAGGCCTTCAGACTCAGACTGGTATTACACCATTGGTTCTCCTGGGTATCTAGCTTACTGACCGAAGATCTTGAGCTCCCCAGCCTCCATAATCACATGAGCCAGTTCTTTACAGTAAATCTGTTTATATATATCTTATTGGTTCTGTTTTCCTGGAGAACCCTAACTAATACAAAGGATTATTTGAATTACTCTAGCTTGTAATAAGGTCAGGCCTCAAAGCTAATGAGTTGCCAATCCTGGCCAGTTCTATTCTTCTGTTGCTTATTGGTGTCTAGCCTGGATCCTATTGTGCCTTCAAGACTAGCTGTATGAATTAGGACATTATTGCTCATGTAGATATTCAAATATATTTGATGCAATATAATTTATCAGTCAAATGTTCTGAGGCCAAAGTGAGTACCAAAAGCAAGACATGAAGAAGAAATGAATATTTAACCAACTGAGCCACCCAGGCGCCCCATTTTTTTTTTTAAAGATTTTATAAGAAATGAATATTTAACTAAATTGAAAATTAGTCATAGATAAGATTCCTTAATTTACTGGGTAGTTTAACTAGATAGCTTCTAGAGTGCTATGAAACTTAAGATCCCAGAAAAGTTAGTGAAGAAATGGAAGTTTCTAGCTTTATCCCATATTACCAAGTATTTCTGTAATTTAAATAAACTATATGAGCATTAATGGGTCAAAAATGGTAAGAAAGAATGAAAGACTGGTTGGTAAGACAATTCTTTAATCAAACAAATGCTAATTATAACAATTTTAATTCATCCTATAAAAGATTTTAAGACACTCAGTTCTCAGCTTGACATAGAAAAGTTATGGGAGAAGAATTTGAGTAAGTAAGAGTATTAGGATTTATCAGAAAAAGATAAGATTTTAACAAGGCCAGTTCAAGTAAATAAATGATCTTAACTTGATTTAAAAAACAAAGTAAATTAGCAAATGTATAAAAATCAAGAAATTCTCACTGAATCCAAAGATTTCTAATAGCTACATAGAATGGGACTAAGGTAACCCTAGCAGTACACAGAAGATATAGTTTAATTAGGAAACATTTGATGCCAAATAGCAGCTCTAAAATTAAGGTCAAATTTCTATGAAATTCTTCCCCAAAACTCAAAATCTCAGCTTAATCATAAGAAAATCATCAGATAAACCCAAATTCAGAGACATTCCACAGAATATCTGGCTAATACCCTCAAAACTGTCAAGGTCTTAAAGCGGGGGGAGGGAAAGGAGTCCTAAGCTGTTACAGACTAGAGGAGACTGGAGAGACCTGACAACTAAATGCAATGTGGTTTCTTGGATTGAATCTTGAAGAGGACTTTAATGGAAAACTGGTAAAAATCTGAATAATGTCTGGAGTCAATAGTAATCTACCAATGAGGGTTTTTTAATTTTGACAAAATTACTACAGTCAGGAGCAATGGCAAAGGCAGGGCAAACCAAAACTGGGTCAAAGGTGTAGGGGGACTCCATACTATACTACCTTCCTGCAAATCTAAAACTGTGCCAAAATGAAGTTTATATTAAAAAATTAAGGAAAAAGTTTCCATTCAGAACTACAAGACAGTAATTCAAGAGTTCATTTTTAGAATGATTATGACATAAAAATTAAAATGAATACTATTTAGGCAGAGAGTTTGAAAACTATGCAAATTAAAATAATTAAATAAACGACTCTTCATAAAACATAAGACATGCAATAGATAAATAATAAATATACTGCAATGATGGATAATATATATTTATAAATAAAGACATGTTGGTAAATACTGCCAAATGTTGATTTCTTTATCTTTATGTATCATGAAAGGCAGCAGGCAAAGGATAGAGAAAAAAAAGGAATGGGTAGCAGTCAATATTTAATTACGCTCTATGTACTTATTTTTAGTTAATGTAAGAAAATAAATGATAAAAAAAATCAAATGTTTGAGTTCACACTGTAATTGCTTCCAAGCACTATAAACTGTTTTGTCTATCTCTTCAACAATATATTGAATGACTCAAGATTGCATACTGTTGGTAGGACACAAAATGGTAAAAACAGTTGCTCATTTTAGAAGGACTTTTTCCAAATCTAACCTGAAGATAAATGTCATTCTCCACATCCAGATAGGATGAAATCATTTGTGGCAAAACAGTGCTCCAGCCAAAAACAAGAAAAGCCAGGTTAAATTTAAAAATCCAGTTTAAAGATGTCAGCAGGCTATGGCTGCAACAATGAGTTGAATGGCTAAGATCCTGAAGAGGGTGGTTTGCAGATCTGCAGGCATTTTTTCCCCCTGAGTTTTAAAGATTCCAGGCCTGGGCAAGGGGCTGGGAAGCCAGGCTTTGACTGCACAGAGGGCTCGTGTTGGAGGACAGAGAAATCATCGAAGCTTTTGGTAGCTGTGCAAGGCTGAAGTGACAAAATTGGAGATTTGAGACTTGTTTCTATCTCAAATCATTTGATAAATCCCAAACGTGTACAGCGCTTGAAATTAAAAAGCTAAGCCCTAAAACCTCTGAAAAGCATAATGGAGTTTTCCACTCCATAATGGAGTTTTCTTACAATGCTGAGGACATAAACGCCAGAGTACAAGCTTTGCCAGGAGTAGGGTCCTACTGAGTATCAGCTCTGTGTGGGAAACCTTACCAAAAGTACCAGGCTGAGCCACAAGTAGACCAAGACTTACCAAACTTCTATCCAGCCTCCACGGGAGATAGTAAAGCATTTTAGAGAGTGATAAAAATGAACTAATAGGAAACATTCTATGAAGTAGGAGAGAAAAGGGGCAATTGATTAGTGATAACCTTACGCAAGAAAAGACAAGAGCTAGTATAGAAATACGCTGTCCTTAAACAAGGGCATGAACTAGGTAAGAAATAAAATACAAAAGGCAGAGTATATGAGTACAAATGCACGTAGGCTGGTGGGTGAAATGGTGGGGAAAAGCGGAAGTTGCTTTTTATATTGGAGATGAGAGGTTGGATATCTAAGGAGCAAGAAGGGAGATAAAATAGTCCTTTACAGGGGAAAGTTGAATGGACTAACAAAAGGCCAGAAAAATGCCAGGCAACACCAAGGGCCTACCTGAAGACAATGGTCATGAATTTAAAGGTTAAATGGCAAATCTGTGTGATATTCTTCTGCCATATAAAACTATGAAGGTGCAGATCAGGCAGAAAGTTAAATATATAAGGCTTAGGTTTTGCTTGGTGAGTAGGACAAAGGGCCAAGAGAACTGAGGTTATATTATACGCAAATCGGTAATAATTAGGTGAGCCCTGGAATCTAAGTGAGGTAAAGGGGGAAGTGGGAACAGGAGTGAATTGAGGGAATAGGAAAATAAATGGTACAATCAATAGAAATTGGTGCCAGTGGAGCTAAAATTTGCTACTCAAAGTTCTGGAGTTAAGTGAGCTGGAAAGATAGTAAGTGCTGGTCAGAAATAGGGTATGACCATAGGGCAGATGGCAGAAGTAGAGCAGAACACATAATGATGAGAGGAGAGAAATTCAAGAAGATGAGAGGCCAGAACAGTGAAAGAATCATCTGTACAGGTATTTGAATCACCAAGAATTGTTTTTCATAATTCAAAACCACAAGTGTGGGCTAAAGAAAGAGACAATGAAATGCATCCTAAGATCTTCAAGAAATGAGGGAAGCAACACTGGAGTGTGCACAGGACTGTAACAGGAATGCCTACTGGGTGGTACAATCTGATGCGTGAGCTTCAAAGCTAGAGGTGTTTGGAGAGGAAAAAAGACCAATGATGTGAAAACACTAATGCAGAACAAGCCTCTAAGCCCACTGGTATAACTGCTGTGGGAGGGAATCCAATCACTACTTGAGAGGACTGCAGTGGAAGCAGTATCCTCAGGGAGGTAATCAGGCTTCAGTTAGAGCAGCAAGGTGTAAGTAATGTTCAGAAAAGAATACACTAATAATTTGATTCATTTATCACTGTTTACTAAAAGGCACTGAATTAGGCACTGGGAATAAAACAGTAATAAAGACATAATCTCAGCCCTCACAAAACCGACTCAAGTAAGAAGTCTCATATAAAAGTGATTACTTTAAAGAATATAACTAAATTCTTTTTTTTTAATATAACTAAATTTTTATAACAACCTAACAGTTTTATTAAGAAATGAGGATGCATGTATTTGAAAAATGGTCTAACAAAATTTGTGACTATCTTCATATATCTAATCATCGTGGTATTAATCATATGCTAAAAACTAATTTGAATTAAGACTATGTGGGAAAAAGTCATTTTTTAACGGTAAAGAAATGGGGGAAAATGCTTTTACAGATACATGCAGTTACCTGAGACAAAGCAGCATCCCGCTCTTCTATCACTGCATTCATTTCTTCTGCAGTTATTCTCTTTTTACATTCCTTGGTCTTGTAGATTCTATCCACAATTACAGCTCCATTCTTCTGAATAGCTATTCCTGTGTCTGCATTGTTTATTCTGTTCAGTAATTCCTGTAATGTCTACCAACACCATTATATGTTAGTCAGACATGAAGTTTTAATATATTTTATTTAATATAGGGTTTTAATTAATAGGCACATGTGAATTGTAAATTGACTGAGTGAAGTTATTGAATTTTCATATTGCAGCAAAGATGTACATTATTAGTGTGTCAATTCTTCTTTTTCCCACATCTTAGTTCTTGAAACCCACTCAATTGAACTTAAGCCTCTAAGATATAAGACTGACATCAAGAAATCTCCTCAGAGAATGGCTTACCATGTCATTTTCTTCAGGGTTAATATTTTCTAGCCTAGAAAAAAGGGACACAGAAAGCCTGATCAGTAGCATTTCCTTAGTGCAGCAAAATGAGTTCGCTTTTTAAATCTTTAGAACCTCAAGTAATTTCATTCGACTAGTCTTTAGAGTCAACCATGACACTGAACATATTAAAGTGCCACCTGCTCGACTCCATCTTTCAATAATGCTCCATATCTTCTGCACTGACTTTAGACTGTTAAGTTATTAATGTTTACTGCTATATATGACTACAAGGATCAATTGTTCATATGTGCTTAGATGAGGAAAGTTCCCTAGTGATAGAAGCACTACTTCTCATCATTATATTTATTCCTGGACTTTCAATTCTTACCAAAAACTGTATTTCCTCTGGTTTTTTGGACTTCATCACAAATAAAACAAGGCAAGTATTTTATTGCAAAGTTTAACTATATTCCCTCAAAAGCAAAGACAAATAATGACCACTAAATTTGAACTGAGCATCTCCTGCTGCTATCTATTTGTTAAAACAAATACACCATATAGAAAGGCTGACCAAAACTGGACCACGTATTTAGATGACTACTGTTATTTTCTCTTTCATTACATATATGGAATTATTCAATTTAAAGACTAAGGAAGTAAATTGGTTCCTCTCATAAATGTATTTTATCTTGGAAGAGTCATTGTGCTTACTGAAATGTTTTTTGATGTTGGTGAATTGAACAAATGCAGGAAAGGTAAAGAAGTGCTAAATGACATATCTTAGAAAATGTCCATAATGTAATTTAGGCAACCATTAAATTGGGTAAATTAAATGAAAATCTGTAATGGGTATTAGTAAAATGATGTAGATTTTAGAAATGGTTCCATTATTTTGAAATTGTACTAAAATGTTTAGATATATAAGTTCCTGTTTTCTCATATTCTCTACCCGCCCCCCATTTCTGGGCTCCTACGATTTAATATTTACCACAAAAAGAAAAGGATATTTGAAAAAGATATAGAGAAACTTAATAAATTTATTACAAAATTGTTCCAAACTCCACAGTTCAATGAAATTGCTACATTCATGAAGAGAAATTTAGAATATTGAATTTTTAACAGGGAAAAAATAAACATATATAAAAAACTTTTTTTTTTTTTAAAGAATTTATTTGAGAGAGAGCGTGAGAGAGAGCACAAGCAGGGGGAATGGCAAAGGGAGAGGGAGAAACAGGCTCCCCACTGAGCAGGGAGCCCAGTGTGGCAGGGAGTGGGGTGGGGGACGCTTGATCCCAGGACCCTGGGATCATGACCTGAGCTGAAGGCAGATGCTTAACAAATTGAACCACCCAGGTGCCGCTATCAAAAACTATTTCTACACATACTTAAATGGTATAAATTTACAGGGTGGCATAGCAATTTTGAATTATATATACTTAATATATCTCAAACTAGTAATGTCTACTTGGATTCACATTTCACATTTCTCCCAAAATAAATCAACAGTTTTCAAATATCCTGCTTCATAAAAGCTTGTTCTACAAAAACTCTGAAGATGATCATTTCTTTTTTAATCAATTAAAAAACATAGTGAAAAGTATAAGATAACAAAATTCTTACACTTATTGATGCTTACGTAAAAGTATTTGAAAAACAGCACTAGCATTTAAACATCAGTTACCAGTTGGCTAAATGTCATTTTTAAGGAAGCCATATGTAGTGAGAAATATTTACCTTAATGTTGTTCTTTTTAGATGAAATCAGACAAAGAGCTAATTTCAGCAGTTTCCAAAGAAGACTCAACTTAAACTCTTATAAATTTAATAATTAATTTATTAAACTCAGTAATTTAAAATGAAATACATAAAAGCTAAACATTCAGATTAGTAGATTATTGGAAACTCTTACAAAAAAACCCAAAAAAAAGAAAGTTTAGATCTCAAGGTTATAAATCTCCTTCTTTTGTTCCAAAGAACTACATATATGATTAGGAAGAAAATAACAGTGTAGGGTGGATACCTAATTTGTACATTCAAAATGATCAACACAACAAAGAGTGTATGCAATTTCTATGTGATACCTATAAGCTTTTTTCAGGCATTGCAAGGTGAAGAAGAATTATTACTTTAAGGAGAGAGAAATGAAGAGTCTGAATGTTTTAAATTAATATCTTTCAAGAGGATAGGGTTAAGATAGTTGTATTTAGTCTAATATTAAAATTCTCTGCTACCAACTAAAATTTTTTAAAAATTAAAATAAAATTTTCTTATACTAAATCCTTTCCATGTGGATTTAGCATTACAGATATAAATAATGTATATGATTGCCCTTAGAAGTACAAAATGTACAGTGATTTATCATTTTGCTGATGAGTGAATTTGAAACATGTTTTGGTAGGTGTGCCAGGTCTGACATGTAGGGCATGAGGTTTAAGTCAACCACTTAGCATTTATTTGGATCTTAATTTTGCTTTATTATTATCCTTTATGATTTTTTAAAAGATTTTATTTATTTATTTGACAGAGAGAGAGCACAAGCAGGGGGAGAGGGAGAGGGAGAAGCAGACTCCCTGCTGAGCAGAGAGCCGGATGCGGAAATCGATCCCACAACCCTGGGATCATGACCTGAGCCGAAGGCAGACGCTTAACAGACTGAGCCACCCAGGCGCCCCTATCCTTTATAATTGATCTCAATTTTGCTCTATGGTTATCCTTTGTAAGTACAGTGATAAATGGTCATTAAGAGAAAACTAAAACTTAAATGAAAATGAGCAAATAGTTAATCTGAGATTTGAAAAATTACATACAAACAAGTAACTTTCAATATAAACAAGAGTCTGGAAAGAGAAAAGGCTAATATTTATATTTCTCTATTTGTATTTCTTTAAAAGTTTCAGGAAGTACTTGTCATAGATATCAAAGCTTAACTACATCATAATTTAGTCTCAACTAGATTATTTACAGCAGAGATCAGCAAGCTTTCTGTAAAGAGTCATATAGTATTTTAGATTTTGCTGTATGTTCTCTGTTGCAGCTACTAAATGTTGCCTTTGGAGTACAAAAGCATCCAAAGATAATACGTAAATGAACAGGTGTGGCTGTGCTACAGTAAAACTTTATTCACAAAAACAATTGGAAGGATGGATGTGCACCATAGGTCTTTACTTTGCACATTCCTGATGTAGAGCACTGAAAAATGAGACCAGATCTTTGACGTTAAAACACTCTAAGTGCTAACTGTGAGGTATTTTTCTGAGGTGGATCACTCAATAGCCAGTTAAAGACTAATCACCCAAAAAAGTGGATTTCAGAAGATAAAATACAGTCTTATAAGGAACATCACTTACTGTATTACTTAAGAAAACATAAAAATTAGACACGTAACCTACTTTTAGAAAAAAGAAGACAATTTGAAACAGTTTACCAGGCTTTCTATTTTCTACATAAAATGACTTGTTAGAGGTTTCAGGTTTACTAGCAGCATGTATAACACATAAGGCTTTACTGGTTTAATAAAGACTTAAAGTAATAGTTGATGTTATATGAAATACAGCTGACAAACTATAAATTATATATCACTAATAGGAGATTTACAATTATACAAAAAGAATCTCAACCTTTTGGAAACTAAATTATGCCTATAACAGTCTAACCAGACATAGTCATGATAATTAGTAAGAATTTTGCTGAAGTAAATGTCCATGGGCTCAAGTTTCAATTGATTTCCTATACCATGCATATTCTGACTGACACCCCTGCACTCTAAGTGAAAAGACCCATGCATGAAATGTCACATTTCTTGATTTATCCCCAGATCAGTCAATATCATGTCTTTCCTTTCTCAACCTATAGTCATTCACCTTGTTCAATGGGAAGCAGCTAAACTTTGACTTCAAATGATAAAAGGAACTAGTGATCATCTAATCAAAAAACTCTGAATTGTTAATTTTTATTCTCTTTCATTTTTACACAGTGCCACCTTAATATGTTAAAAAGAAAAACTGAAGAGACTGAATATCATGATCTCAAAAGTTGGAATATACATACACAAATATGTCTATATAAGTAAGTAAATTTTAGTCATTTTAACTTGAATCCTTTTTACTTTTTTTCTAGTTTTGGATAAAAGTGAAAAAGAAAAAAGAATTGAAGATTTTCAAGGGGTAGGGGAAGGCAGAAGGTAAGACAAAACAGACATCACCAAAAGACAGAAGTAGATCAGAACTGGCAAAGATGAAAAGAAAATGACAGAAGGAATATGAAGATTATAGGAAGCAAGAAATAAGAAATTAAAAAGAGATGTGAAATAATGTGTATTATTTCAACCTGTAACTCCAAATATGCCTCCAAATATGCCTTTCGGTCAAGCAAAGCTCAATTATAAATTGGTTCTACCTTAATAAGGAATTCATCTAAAATGCACTGTTGAAAGTTCAGAACCTATAGATGTCAATTGAGTAGAAAGGAGCATCCACAGTAACATTTAAAATTATGCTGACATATTATTATTTTAAAGTTGTTGTTCTTCCCTCTTATGTATGATTTTTCCTGATCTCCCCAATCTGCACCGCTGGACTATAAAACTGTAGGAGTGGACTACAAACTGTTCCTAAGAACCAACAATTATTCATATCAATTAATATTATTTTAAGTATTTATGTAGTTATTTAATGTCTATCTTCTCAACTAAACTGGGGCCATAATGCTGTGTTCTGAGTAACTTGACACATAGAACATATTCAATAAATATTTATTGAATGGACTAAATAACTAAAAGAAAAGGCTTGGGATTGAGTGTTTTTCTTTTCTCCCTTTCCTATTTCTCCATTAATACAAATGCTACAAAGAACAAATGAAAAAGGGTCTGCCTCAAGGAACCCTAATTTTAATATATTGTAATAAAAACTGGAACAAATGTATGTGCAAATTAAAGTAGACAATGGAAGGTAAAAAAAAAAAAAAATAGAGGGAAAGATAGGCTCAATTTAGAGCCATCAATTAAAGAGAGAATGAACAAAACTAAGAGACCAAATTAGTAGAGGCTCTGAGG